AAAAAAAAACAACCTCGGAGGGGAACTAACACGCACGTACACAGGAGGTCCGTCCTCTACACCTTGAAGGCATGTTCCTATGCAGGAGGAAATTAATTTCATACATCTTTTTTTTTTTTTTGGCAAATTTTCTCACCCAAATGAAGGAATCACGACTGAAGTGGAAACTCTATACGAAAAATGTGTTACGCTATGAACACAACCTGGGTGTATTTTCTTGCATGACTAATTTTCACCTTGGGGAGACACAGCTCCGCTAACCCTTTGTAGTTTTTCTTGAAAGTGCAAAGGTCACACATGTTAAATTAAGTGAAAATTTTCATGTGTTTGTATATTTATTGACAAAAAAATAGCTCGAACTTTCCTGCTGTTCTCTCAGTTTCTTGCCCCAGGCCTTTTTTTCCTCATCCAGTATTTCAGGAAAAGCTTATTGTCATAAATCTGATCGACATTATTTTTAACGTTATAATTGCTCCTTGATATATGTTTTAAGTACAAATGTTGGCTATACCGCAGGGCCTTTTCCTTCTCTGCCTTATTTTTCACAGTATTAACAAAATTGAAGAAGCTCTTGTACTTGTTGAGGATGTTTCTTTCCATCGTTTCGTCGCATGAGGTAGAAATGGTCACCTGATCTCATGAGAGAGGGTGATAATACGGGGAAAAAACAAACAAAAAAACAGGCAAATATCCACTCTTTTGTTTCACCCTGGGGTAGGGAGCACAGCTAATACGAATATGCGTAACTGCCGCAGATGCATCCTTCGGTTTGCCATCTGCTGACGCGCGTTCGTCGCTAACGTATTCTCGTACACTTGGAGATGAAAAAAAAAAAAAAAAAAAAAAAGAAACGCATTAACACTCCTAGCCGAGTTTGTAAACCGGGCAAATCATCGCAACTCACGTACACGCATGCCATTTTTGCACATTTTTTCCATACCCCCACCGTTGCGTACACGCATACTCAAAGTCGAAAGAGTCCATGTGCAAATGGAAGCTAATTGTGTTTATGTCATCATCACAATGTTAAGAAGTTGGCAAAAAAATATAGGTTGGTGGTGCTAATGCTGGTGCACGTAGGAAAAAAAAAAAAAAAATTTCACCATATTATTTAAAAAAAGGTGTAAAAAATTTTACAATTTAAACGCCAAAGGAAGGATATATATGACAATTGTGTA